CCTGGCAATATTTTTTTATTTCATTTCAATAAATGATCTTATAAAGAAGTTCAAAGTACCCCTAATCATTTGTACACATTTATTTCTTATGCATCATTCTTGTTTTCAGCCATATTTCCTTATATTGAAATAAGGTTATTGCTTAATTAAATGTCATTTCATTGACACTTTTCACATTACCTATAAACATTATGACTTTAAAAATTACAAACACATATTCCCTCATAGTATTTCAAGATCAATATCTTAACTGAACATTTACTTTTGTTAATATATCTGGAAACAGACCACTCAGCTCAAAACCGTATATATCCTTTTCTGGTATATTTCTCTTTGTGTTCTTCACATAACAATGTCTTTTTGACTCTCATATTCTGAACAGTGGCCTTTGCTGTTTCATGGTTGGAATGTGCTGCCCTGGACGACGTCTTATCCTACGTACAGCTTCTCGTAGGTGCTTGGGTTGTACAGGGCCAGATTCACCTTCAGTTTCCATGACATCTAATGCTGTAATAATAAAAAGTATCATATTTAAAAATTCATGAATATATAAAATAGTTTCATCTGAAATATTTCTTTCAAAGATAGAGAGAAATAAAAATTCCAAAGGAACTCTTCACTGAGAAACATGCATTAATTTATTCATCATATGTTATTATTATTTTTACTTTTTTTTTATTTTTTTTAGAACAGTGGTTCCCAAATGGTTGGTTGTGATCCTCAATGCGATTCTGAAAAGCTAGAAGGGGATCACAGGTCCACGACAAAAAATATTGTAGGCCAACTTGCTCCATCTTCAGATTAATAACAATATACTATGAAGCCAGGTCTTTATGGAAAATTATATTATGACTAGATGCATAAGGATTGTTGAATATCCCCCAGTTAAAAAAATAACAGACAGAATTGATGTTGGGGTCCATACGTGTCAGAGGTTTGAGAAAGGAGTCACAAGTGAAAAAGATTAAGGAACCACTTTTCAGATGTATGATAATGATTTATAACCATATGTACTGTAGATATAATAAAAAAAAAAAAAAAAAAAAAAAAAAAAAAAAAAAAAAAAAAAAAAAAAAAAAAAAATCCTTAATTTTTCAGTTTTCATGGCATATAAAAATGTATTGCTACTTTCCACAAACACAAAGTTCCTGATATTCCAGATCCACCTCTCAAATCCATATTATCATCTTTCCAGTGTCTTCTGGTTCAATAAATATTTGAGAAGGGGGTCAACAGAGATGGTTCATACCAAAGATTATTATGGTGAAAAAGAAAAAAGAAAAAAAAAAAGAAACAGATATTAATTAAAGATAAAAAAATAAAGAGTTTCTTAGCACTAACTTTTCTCCTCAATGTAATTGCCATAAAAAGTCATTAAATATGCTGCTATATAGATATTAACAAATTAATGAGCATTAATCTTGTGATATAGTTGTGAATTTTACTACGAATATTTAAAACTTCAAGACTATAATTTTACAAATAAATGGAGCATATCCAAAACACAGAATATTATTTTCTAAAAACACTGAAGCTTAGATGTTCATTTGATCTTGATGATCTTCAGGCCATTGTTCTTGATATAGAAATGAGGACAAAAAGTTCATCTATGCCATAAGTTATTCCATTAAATATATCGTGCATGTTTGTACCAATTTCCTCAAATTCAATACATAGGTAATAAAAATTGAATTTCATTTAAACTGTAAAAAAAAATGCCACATGCAATAGTTTTTCTATGATTGTTTTTTGCCAAAATTACAACTTCAATAAATGTGCAAGGAAAAATATACACTGGTGTCTTACCTTCCTCTAAAACCTCTCCAACGAAGACCTTTGCAATACCAGACATTGCAATAACCACATTCTGTGACACAGAACAACCAGTGATAGTCTGCATAACCTGGAAGACAAGAGAAAATATTCCTCTTAAAAATAAATTTGAAATGAAAAAATAGCTTTTATTTTAATAGAGGAGATTTTTTTCAATACTTTATTTCAAAGCAATCCTTTATTAGGTTAGGATTAATAAAAATCATAAATACAATCAAAATCTTCCGCACTCACCCTTTTTATCGCTGCCTTGGGGAAAGCTGATCTTCGAAACATTTCATAGCGGTCAAACATTT